GTTATTAGATTAAAATGTATTAAGCTCTTAATTTTAGTCAAAAATTTCTCGGAACCTGATTTTCCTAGAAACACTCCTATATAGTAATAAGTTAATTTTACTTTTAAAAATATATCAATAGTCTGTTTACCTTTTTTTTATAAGTTAAATCTTAGATTTTTTAAAAAGATTTAGTTTTAATAAGTATATTAGTTTTATTCAAGAATATATATTAATATTTTTTTTTTATACAGTATTTTGTTCAAAATTATAAATCATGTGGTTGCTTAATTATTAAATTATAAAATTTATTATATTATAATTTAAAAGAATTAATTATAAATTCATTTTTATTTTATATATTATATAAAATCATACTATTAATATATAATTCTTATAAATTATAATAGTTAAACAGGATATTAAGGGCTGATTCTTTTTAAATTTATGTAATAAAATATATAATTTGTATTAATAAAGTTTATACTAAAAATTAAGATTTTATATATTATTACTTATTATTAGAAAGATTATACCAATTAATATTTTATGGTAGAATAATTTATTGATAAATATAAAAAAGTATAAGAAAACAAGAAATAAAATAAAAAAATAAAAAATTATCTAATTAAAAATAAAATGCAATTAATTAAATTATTTAATAATCTAAGTATGTGAAAAAAACTATTAAGAGAAATTTTACTAAGTAAATTTACCTAAAAGTGGATTCTACATATATTTTTAAAAATAAATAAAATAATATATTAACTATTTTAACTATTTTAACTATATTAACTAATTCAACTATTTTAACTATTTTAACTAATTTAACTATATTAAATATGTTAAATATATCTGATATATCAATTATATTAACTATATTAATTACGTTATTATTATATTATACTATATAAATTAGTTACATTTTGATATAATATAAGATAAAAATTTTTTTAAATAAAATCATTAATGATTTTAAATATTATTAAAATAATTTATTAAAATATTAATTCTTTTATAATAAATTTTATGATGATATTTTCAAGTAAAAAATTAAAAAACAAAAATGTGATTTTTTAAAGATAAATATATAATAAACTATTAAAAGAGTAAATTTTTAAACTCATATATCTAATAAACTGAATTTTATTTTTAAATAATAATAAATTGATTTATATTAATAATTATTAATTTAAAAAATTAAAATATTACTATTAGATGCATCTTAATATAACAAATTAATAAACTTTATTTCATCTTGTCATTATCACTGGACGTTAGAATATTATGTTATATAAAATGGTTTTATACTTAACATTTAAGGGATAATGATGAGGAATATTTTGTAACTAGTACAAAAAAAAATCACATACACCAATGGGATTCACCGAATAATAAAATTTCGATAAGTTTTGAAACAAAAAGTTTTTAAAATGTGTCCTATTGCGTTCTATTTCGTTCTATTGTTCAATTAATTAAGAAGTTGCGAAGCCTTTGTGTATTAGGAGGTACTTCATCCGCAGTAACCTTTATGAAAGTATTTGTACCACATTGAACGTATAAAAAGAGGTTGTTTTATAACCTAATAATTTTCTCACGCTTTTATTATTATTATTATTTTTTTTTTTACGTTTGCGATCAATTTAATTAAGTAATAATTTGGACGAAAATAAAATGCATCAATCAAAGGACGAATCAACAAAAATCGACGAAGGGAAAGAATTATTGAAAATTGATGAAAAAGAGGAACTCTATGAAAAGAAAACGACTTGCGAATGCAAAGAACAAATTATCGCTAAAGAGAAAATAATTGATTCTTTAAAAGCTCGTATTGAGGAATTAGAAACCGATTCTATTATTAAAAATCAAGATATCAAGAAACTTCAGCAAGAGACTAATGATTTGAGAGAAAGTATTCAAGAAATTCAGTCAATACTGAAAGCAAACAAATTCCTACTTGGAACATCCGTCAAGATAAATAAAAACACCAAAGTTAAAGAATTTATCAAACCAGAGATTAATTTAGAGAATGATAAATTAGATTTTGATGATTATTCATTTCGTTTCGATTCTAAACTAGAAGTCCAGAAAGAAGAGTATGAACATGATTCATTTAATTTCGTAAATCATGATAATTTAGAAGATGAGGAGGACAAGGTTTCATTTGGGGATCTTTCGCAAGGTTCTGAAACCAAAGATCTTTCAGATATAGAACAAAAGTCAACTTGTCAAGATAGTGAAAACCACAATAGCACAATTAAAGATATTCACGCAACAATTATAAATTTCAATCACGATGATCTAGGCGTTTTACAATTTTTATATACCCCCAAAGATTTAATGGAATATAAAAATTCAGATGAATTTCAAACGTTGCCCATTAATCTTCAAGAAATGATCGGTGTAAAGAATAGTTTAGAAGGGAAATCGGAGATTGAGGATTCGAATAATAAAACATGTGCGGCTAAACATATTGATGTAAAAGGAGAAATTAAAAAATTAAGAAGTATAAACAAAAAAATAATTGCAGAAATAGAATATGAAAATATTAAGCGGTTTACGGCCAATAAATATATTTGATATAGAATTAATTACAATTTTTTTTTTTTTCCTTTATTGTAATTTTCATTAAATAAAATATAATATAGAGATCAAATTACTGTAGATTGTATTACTATTTTATAATCGTTATTCGATTTATTCTTAAAATTCTTGTAATAATATAATAATATAACTTAATAACCTAAACATTCCCAACTTAACGTTTAATAGTAATAAATAAAACTTATGATAATATGGAAATGTATATTTACATTTGTATAATATTATGAGTTATCATGATAGAGAATGATGATAGATGATGATTGCCCTTGGTACAAACAAGACTTTTTAAAGATATCTTTTGATTGACATCCCATTAGAACGCGCTTCCTTATAAGAATAAAAATAATAATGAATTATTCGAAAACATCTGCCTAACGTACATACTGGTCGATATCATTTATACAGTCCTAATGTATCAAACTATCTAAGATATAGTTGCCGGAATAAGGATATATCTGTATGTATAGATTCGATTCTTATTCACGAATCATTTTTGATTTAAATGCTACGTAGCCGTCTGTCCTAGGTGGCAGAGCCTCTGCGCCATCAAGTTGTTCTTGGGAACGTTCTTCACGTAACTTCCTTTGTTTCTTGAGCCACACGTCACGACGAGAAATATGAAGGTCTTTAATACACCTAAGTATCATTTCACTAGGAGCTCGTATTCCCTTATTAAGCAAATACTTTTTGAATCTAGGAAAGTGAATTTCTCTAATATAAGGTCTGATCTCTGTCGCTGTGAGTTCACCACTCTTTAATTTCTTTGATGGAATTTCTTCAATGTAATTAAGAAGCTCTCTCTATTTTTTTTTTTAATAAAAAAAGGAAAAAAAAAATTAAATTTCATATTCAAGGATGATAAAACCGCGAATAAAAATAATTACCTTTACAAGCCTTAGTAATCTTAAATCAGCTTGTTTCAAATCGAAACCATCGTCCGAATAATCTTCATCTCTAGAATTTCGAGAAGCCGCAGCAAGTTGTCTCTGATCATTAATTCGCTTCTTATGCAATTTATTTTGTTGCCGTTGACGTTGCTGATTTATTCTAGAAAAGCGTTGCTCGTCACGATGGGTAAAATTTTGAATATGTGTTGAGCGATTACTCGACGTAGGAGCTTGTTTATTTATAACGTTATTCCCTGTTCTAGGTACCTTGGGAATTGTTTTTCGCATAGAAGTGATATTAGAACTAACACTCGAAGGAGGTTTGTTATTAACTTTTACAATTGGTTCTAAAAAAAAGAGAATAGATATATAATTGTTAGAAAAGCTATTCATTACATGTAGTTTAGAAAAAAAAAAAAAAAATTTTTTTTTTTTTAAATTTTGTTGCGCACCTATACTTCTTTGAACATGGACAAGGTTTTTATGATTTGGACTACTGAGCATCATAAAAATTTTTTGTCCAATATCAGACGAAATAAAGTCTGAAGAAACTTTGGGATTAATGTCAATATTCTCCATTGAAAAAAAATATTTTATTTTCCGTTTTTTTTTTTTTTGTTGAGTGAAAAAGAAAGAACTAGCAACAATTTGTTTCATGATATAATGGAATATAAATATGTTTTAATAGATCTACAATACATTCGTAACAGTAATTATTATTTATGGTAATAAAGGCTAATTATCATTCAATAATAGCATTTTGCTTACTTAAAGAAATGATCGACGGCTCAAGTTAATCGAACCAATGAGGCTTATACCAAAACTACTTGAATTATTCAAATTTAATTTAAAAGATTTGACTATGACGATATTTCTTTTTAAATTTATCAACATTCTTTATACCTAAATTAGTTCAGACTATACTGTTTTTATACACTTTTTTCCTCATATTCTCTTGCCTTTCTAAAAGTATATGTATATATTTGTTTTTGCGTCAGATGTCGTTTTGAGTCAAATGACAGTTGACATGCGTCAGATGACTAATGCTGGCCAAACCTTCTTAAGGCATTATAAGATCAGCCCAAAATAGGCCTATAATTTAGGCCAGTCGTCATCTGACGCAAAATTATACAACATATATATGTATTTATATTTAACATTTATATTTAGTTTTATAATTTTGGTGTCGATCACAATAATTTCTTTCTGATACCCAATTTCATGCTCTTAGATATCCCATATTTTACGTGAGATCAATTTCTCAAACACACCTTTTAAGGTAACTTAACTTCCCTGTTTGTTTGGTGTATCTGTATCGCAGGTTCCGCAGTTTGACTTGTAACACGAAGTTAACCAACTAACCCATTTAAACTTTTGATTTATACATGTCCTACCGTTTGTGCAATTATAATTGCCTTTTTTTTTTCCCTCTTCCACTCTTTTTCTCTACTTCTTCTTCTTCCCATCCTTAAATTTTTTTTTTTTTTTGCTTTCTTTTGAAAAAAAAAGATAATATGAATTCAGTTAATATTGAATCAAACAGTTATGATGATGATTATGATGATGATGATCCTTATTATCAATTATTAGAAAAACAAGCAATGGAATTTGAATTATTTGGAAGACGTCTAAAGGCCGATGTGCAAAGGCAAAGGCAACAAAAGTCAACTAAAAAGAACAAAATCACAAGTTATGTAATGACAGTTGATTCTCCGACGAGTCAACGAGTCACGACCAATACGACGACTGATGCCAAACCCGGGGAAGCATTTGATGATTTCACAAATGGTTCAAAATCAGAATCAAAAGATTCTTTAAAGGCCCGTATAGAAGAATTGGAAACGGATTCTATCATTAAAAATCAAAACATTGAAAAGCAAAAGTTCGAAATTAAACAATTAAGAGAGGAATTGAATAGGCTTAAAAGTGATTTAAATGTAACCTATTTGAAACAAGAAATCGAAGAATTAAATGATTTCAAAATTAATTTTATGCTTGTATTTGAATCTTTTGAACAAACTAAAGCGGAATTAAAGGAATTAAAAATCAAGTTCAAACAAAATGAATTCGAAAATGATAGATTATTAGCCGAAAAACTTCAATTTGACGAAAAAACATTTACCGAACAAGATTTATATGATCATCCTTTATCATATAATAACTTTATCGAAAACTCTGATGATGATTACAATCGATCTAAACCTCAGTTACCACAGGGTGAAAAATATTCTGCGAGTCAGGATGAAGTAACAGACTTATGTCCACAACCTTCAAATTTTCAACAAGAGTACATCAGTCGCCAAACAACCCCATTTGATACGAATGTTCAGGGTTTTGCTCGTAATTATGATTTAGAGATTGCTAGACAAGAGCAAGATGGAATCTTGCCATTAGAGAGTTCTCCTGTTCAGAGAAATAGCGGCGTTCCTGTTCAGAGAACTCTCCAAAATAGGCTGATGCAAAATTTTTTTAAAAAAAACATAAAAAATAATAAAATTATTAATTATTTAAATAGATCAATCATATACCAAATATCCGTTCAATAAAGAAAATTTTTTTCTCAAACCAGTCAATCAACATACCGAATGGAAAGCTCATAGACTTCTTGCATGTCCACATCGGTTGACTTACAAGTTAATCTGAAAATGAAGGGTCTGACGGATACCAATACAGTTATAATTTACTGCGGATCTTAAAATCAAATTCTTAACATTACGTATCTTAAATATTCGAAGACTCTTGGTATTTTACAAATGATTGTTACAACATTTATTTACAAAAATGATTAAAATAAAAAACTTTTTTTTTCCTGTACATCTAGCATTCATTCTTATTCAAGCGTATAGATTATTTGTGGCTGTTTGAAATGAGAAATCAGTCCTGTAATGTGACTTGCCTTTTATGGATATCTGGTCGCATAAAAGGTAAAAGAATGACTGCGTATGAATATGTTGCCGTGCATCCGTTTAAATTGTCTTGATGATTTCATTACCAACAAATTCTCCGTTAAGTGTAAAGTCTTCTGTAATGACGACGATATAAATAGTAAGGATTTGCATGATCCCTCCCAGCACCTATAAGAAACGACCATTTTTTTCATGTTAATGAACTCTCCTTTTTACTACCTTTAAAAAAGAAAAATGGATTCAACCGAGAAAGTTGTCGATACAACAAATCCTTTGTATCAATTATTAGAAAAGCAGGCAACGGAATTTGAATTGTTCGGACAACGTTTGAAATCTGAAATACAAAATTCCTACGAATTTATCAAGCTTCAAACATCAAAACAAATAATTAATTCTCATACCGATCAAACTATGACGTCAAATGAACAAACGAACTTGAAACCTGTTCAAATAATTTCAAATCATGTTATTTCTACAAATGAGGAGTTAAGGAGGAAAGAATTAGAATCTATGAAAGCTCGTATAGAAGAATTGGAAACGGATTCTATTATTAAAAGTCAAGATATAGAAAAACAAAAAGTCGAAATTAAACAACTTAAAGAAGAATTAAATAAAAAGGATACCACCACAGATATAA